CTACCAAGAATCTCACTCACAAGAAGGATCATGAGAGACACTAGCTAGAGAATGCACATGACTTAGGTAGTTTGTCCCTAAAATTGGGGTAGAGGGGGGATTCAAAGAGAAAATGCTATCAAAGAGGAGCCCAAACCCATCAAGGTCATACATGCATCACCTGAGTGTAACATGGGCATGATCATAAACAGGGTAATCACCTAAACAATTACCTCATCTGAAACCTGGGGAAATCTGTTTCTCCCAGTTGTTTTATGATCGCCAGTGTGATGATACGCACATTTCCATATGGCAGCAGTACTTCTTGTCAGCCTAACCTATTTGGAACAAAATACTCTTGGAACTAACAATGAGTCAGAGTCACATGGGTTAAAGGAAACTGAAGAGCACATACACCCCTGTCGGCCAGGTGTATTCCAATTTTATGGTCACATTCTTAACTCCAAAGTCAAAATCTGACCAGGAGATCATCTTGAAAGAGGGTAAGTCACACAAGAGAAGACAAGAGCAAGTACTCCAAGGGGACATGAATGTCTGCCCTTGTTCTGAGGCCAAGCATGCAGGTGGCTCTGGTTTCTTGGTCCATAACTGAGAATGGTAACAGGATCAATGTCTTGACATATTTATAAAAATTAAAGGAGATCATAATTTAAGCCTTTAGCACTATATTCTTAACATACTATGAATGCTTAATAAATATGAACATCAACATTGCTATTATATATCTTAGGCACTTCTTTGGCCCTCAGCTCACTCAGCAGTAAAGGCAAAATTAAAACAAACAAACAAACAAACAAACAAAAAACAGCCTTACATGTTTCTATACGTATGCTATCAGGAGAATCCTCAGGTATTCAAAGGTGCTCAGCTAATGGTGGTTCTCTCTCTCCTTCAAGGAGCTCCTATCTTCTCCCACTCACCTCTATCTCGCTTCCCAGTTCTCCGTGCATTGCCTACTGTGGACAAAGGCGGCCACGGGGATCTGGGTGAAGGTCTCCCACTGGTGACAACTCTGCGGTGCTGCCCAAACCATCCACACAATCACCCCCACACGCCCTGCACACCAAGCCCTCCACTCCACTCCTCTCCTCCCATATTGACAAATCTGCGGCCAGCAGATTACATTCACAGTGTGAGGGAATCATTACCACCTGCTAATATTTTTATAGAATTTCATAAACTTGGTCATTCATGAATCATTTAGAGCACTTTATTCCAATGAAGAGTTCACAAATCACTCAAATGCTGGCAAAATGCATAATAATGAGCCATATTTCAGGAGGCTTTGCATTAATATGTCAGCTTCCAATACTGCGAGAGCTAAATTATTTTGCCAGGTGCTATTTTGGGTCACACGTGTGGGAAGCCCTTTTGGGGGCTGGGGTAAGGAAGCATGGGCAGCTTACAGCAGGTCATGGAAAAAACGATACTTAAGAAGCAATCGATCAGTCAGCCAGCCAAGCCCCCTTCCCAGTCCCAAGAAGGTGAGTTCCCAGAGAGAGAGCTGAGGAATTTGTACATTAGATATCAAGGCTCGTTGGGGGTAAAGCGGGAAGAAGTACTACTCTGTGACAGAAAGCGCAGGGCTTTGGAGATGGAAAGAAAAGGATATGGATCCCAAATCCAATACACACCCGCTGTGAGGCCTTGAAAAAGTTGTTGAACAGTTATTTCCTTATCTGCAAATGGTGTTAACGCCTACTTTGTAAGTCTCGTGTGTGAAATGGATTAAATGAGAGTAAGCATGTGAAACGTTTAGCACAGTATCTGCCACGTAGCACTCAACAGGAGTTCCAGCGATGACGCACATCCGGGGCTCCACGAACAAACTTATCCCAGATTATTTCCTGTCACGCAGGTTCCCGAGTGTTCATTCTGAAATGCTTTCATGGTGGCTTCGAGCAGTGTTAATACATTGGTGTGAACGTGCGTTTGGGTAGCAGTTAAGTTTAAAATAACCAACCACAAGCACACTAGAGCCATCACAGTGGCAAGGAATTCACCCACATGCTCTGTGCACTTGAAGCCTCCAGGAAGGGAGACAAAACCATGGGGAGTGGGAAGCCTTGGCTTTGCTGTAGGCATCTGTTCCTTGAGAAAGCAGGTTTGCTGCTAACCATGATGACCTCCAAGGGTGCATTCATCCCTAAACACATTCCAGTGAGATATCCAGGCTCATTGTGGGTACACCAAGGCCACCATGGTCTGCTGCTGGCTCTTCCTGCAGCAACTAGACACTGAAAGCTGCTAGGTGACCTCACATCATGGTCAAGGGCAGCTGGACCTGCCAATTCCTGAGGATGCCAGCATTCAACTCCTACCACAGCCTGACTGTGCCTGGGTGTGGGCAGACGCACACAGTGCTCACCCTTGGGTGCTCAATGACAGGCTCCCCTCATAGGAGCTCACAATCCTGCCCTTTGGGGGACAGTGCTCTGAACTGAACCTGCTGATGGATGGGGAACCCAGCCCCCACAATCAAGCCACCACCCAAAGCTGCCCAGCACGGTAATGCCTCTATCGCCCCTCTGTCTGCTGCTCACTGGGGCCTCAGCAGTCCCGTCGGGGAAGGGACAAGGGCCATTTGTGTGCGACGGGTAAGCATCCTGGGGACCAGAGCTTCCAGAAGTCTCTGCCAGGTCACCAGCTAGCCTTGACAAAGGCAGCCAGAGCCCAGGTGACCTGGTTCCAGCTGGAGATGCTCACTTTACAACCCAATGCTCCTTATTCTCTTCTGCAGAAAGAGACGCAAGCAGATTTTTGGGGAGGGGTGGAGGTGAGGACTGAGGTGCTTTTGGGTAGTGTTAAGACCAAGAAAACCAAGGATATCAAGCCTGGCCCAAAAGACTCAGGGAAAGGCATGCACCAGGGCCAGGGTAGCAGATGGCAAAACCCTTGGGCTCAGTTCGGTCCTGCTGCCGGCCTCCAAACTCAGCAAACTTCACGTCAGCGCCACTTCATCGGAAAATGGTCGGGGATTCCCCCTCACTCCTCAAAGAACGCAGGCTGGCTCATTCTGCTTGGAGGCTTAGGCCCACACCCTGGGCCACTTCAACTGTTTTGGGGAAGGTAGTAGAGAAGTGAGGAGCCCTGGTAGGGCAGTGGTTAAGTGCCTGGCTTTTAAGTAAAAGGGTGGCAGTTTGAATCCACCAGCCACTCTGCAGGAGAGAGACCATGGC